TGATTGTACCCCACTAACATGGTAAGCGACAATTAATCTTGAGTAATACAAATAACATTTGCGTAAACTGAGTCACGTTTGAGTAATGTGTGCAATACTTGTGTAATATGAGTAATATTTGGGTAATATGAGTAATAGTTAAGTAATATGAGTAATATTCAAGTCATATGAATAATATCCTAGCAATAGTGAGTAATATTTGAGTAATAGTGAGCATTATTTACCAAAATGAGTATTTTAGTGCACAAATTTTAGTAAACGGTTTCCCCCTCGTATTGAAATGTTATCTAAAAAAATTGAATGCAAAAAGTTTAAATTAATAAAAAAAAATAAGTAAAGGATTGACAATAGAAACAGGTGTTCAACAAGGCACTGTTGTTTGACCAATATTTTGTAATATACAAGATTTATAAATTAGTAGGGCAACCCGTTAACCACATATTCTTTGGACCGAAATAGTTGGACTTTTTTTATGTCACATTTCAATTCGGAGCCCTATTTTCAAAATTAAAATTAAAAAAAATATATTTTTTATTGATATTCTTGATAAGACTGATTTGGGGCCTCGTTTACGAAATATTGTAACTTTCTTGGATACGTGACATCGATTTAGTCGACGTTAGACTTTATTTTTTGGGGCTGTATGAAAGATTTGAGTCGTTATTTATTTCAATTTACTGAATAAAATGGACATGATCATCATCATGATCAGCGATCTTTAATTTGAGCTAAATCTAAAAAAAAAATGCAATATTCATAAAGCAAGCCGCAAATCAAAATATGTGGTTTCAGCCGAAAGTGCTCTTAACCTCGTACAATTCCTTTCTTTAACTGTTATTTAGTTGGTATTACCCATACAAAAGAAATTTTTCCCAAAAATTAAAGTCCAACGTCGACTAAATTGATGTCGCGCATCCAAAAAACTTACAGTATCTCGTAAACGAGGTCAGAAATAAAAATCTCACAAGAGTAAAAAAGATATTCGGAAAGGATAGGCGTACTTACTCAAAAAAAAATTAAAGTTGGGGGTTCCTTGGTTCCGGCACCCTTTTCCCCTCCGTTCGCGCGTTGATATTTTAAACCAAAATTATATAAAAAGTGTACCGACTTAAGATCAAACTCTGTGTTAAATTTCAAATAAATATCTCTACAATCACCAGAGTTGTCAATAAAAATCATTTTTTAAATTTTAATTTTGACCCCACGTATTTTTAAAATGGGGCTCCGAAATTAAATGAGTCATTAGAAACGTCCCATTATTTTAGTTCAAAAAATATGTGGTTAACTGCTTGACCTACTAATTTGTAACACCCCGTATATTAATTAAATTGCAAATCAACACTGACAAGTGATTTCTTACGCAGATGATGCTGCTATCATATTTCACGAAATCAACTGGAAAGATACATACAGAAAACGAGTTGAAAATTATACAATAGTTAAGTAATTATTTAATTATTATTAATTATTTCAAAACGGACTTTAATGCTTTCTCTTTTACAATTTTGGGTCAATCTACCTCTGATAATATTAAAATACTTACATGAAATATGTGAAAACATTGATAATATGCTTGCTCTTCTATTAAAAAAATGTTAATTTTACGAAATATCTGATACACGAAGATCAAGATTTAAGATGTTATACCATTTAAGAAACATATTAGGAGGGAAATATATTTTCTATAAATTCTTTAACTTAATTTCTGTTGCAATTAAAAAATATATGAATAAAAAAAAATGTAAACATTGATTTTTAATTCAAAATTATATAAAATTTGAACAAACAAGTAATATGATGAATTAATATGTAAATACATATTTTCCTGTCCTTGAAACTTATTAACATTTTCCTCAGTTTTGTATACAGGGTGATTTCACTTTAAATACAGAAGCTGCAGGAATTGATTAATTGCAAAAAATAAGTAGAGTTTGCCCTATAAACAGTATTCGAGATATAGGGTGTAAAAGTTTACAAAAAAAAATATTTCCTGTAATATCTTCATAATAAGCTTACGGAATTGAATGAAATTTACTATAACGTATTCACTTAATTCCATCAACGCATTTTAAAAATGTGACAGAAAATATATACAGGGTGATTCAGAACTTATCCAAAAAAAAATCTGGATGTACAGGGGACCCTTACAAATACACTTCTGTAAAGGATAAATCATAAAGGTCAGTTCGAAATTGATTTAAAAATACACTTCTGCACGGCACTGGAAACTGGTCCACTGTAAAACCTGACCTCGCACAATGCGACAGGTATGGCGGCGTGATAAAAACGGACAAACACTTTCGTAAGGAAAGAAATATGTAAATAGAACTTTATCGCACCTATTTTATATCGGCAAATTCAAATTCTTTTGCCTTTATTAATTATTAATAAAATTAATTTGTGTTTTTAAATAATAAAATCATTTGACATACCAGATGCCGCAACAGCAATTGTTCAAAATTGTATCCACTTACGTGTAAACACATTTGGGTCTGTCTTACTCACTTTCTACGAACTAACACAAATGATGTCTTGCTTCACCATAACACAAATACTTCACCATAATACAAATGTTGTCTTGCTTCACCATAAATTAAAACGATATCCATCAACTCTGAGTTGCTATACACGCAAGCCAATTTTGACATTAACTACTAAAAAACTGATGTAAATACCACAGATAACAGGTAAAAACTACCGCAACGACGGATTTCAGTATTAGGAGTCACATGGCTCTCCACGCGTATTGCGAATGACGCTAGAGACTACAGTTGTCCAGCTATGTAGTGGTTTAATGTGCTATAACTTCAATAATTTTTTTCTCAGAAACTATAAGGATTTTACAAACATTTTTTTTACAATATTGACTCCATTTCTCATGCCGCATCTATTCCCAAATTTTTTTGGATAAGTTGTGAATCACCCTGTATATTTTTTGTAAAATTTAACATTCTGTATCTTGAATACCGTGTCCCACAGGAAAGACGTTTATCGAGCTAACTCTACTTATTTTCTGGTAATTCCTGCAGTTTCTGTATTTAAAGTGAATCACCCTGTATATTATACAATTAGTTTATACCTACTACTGCCTGTTCCTACACAGAACGGAAATATTTAAGCACGGAGTGCCTGTTACTTCAGCTGATGTTTCTAGTCTTAAAAATCCAAAAATAGAGTTTGTAAATATTTAGTTTTCTTAATTTTTGCATGTATGTATGTATGAGAAATTTAAGTTAAATCTCGTTAAAAAATTTTAAATAAATTCAATTTTTGAACTAGCGTGACAACATCATTAGTTTAAATTGGCTTCATTACCTGAAAGTCGCATACAAAAGCCAGTAAAGTAATAAAACTACATATGATAATACTACGGGTGAGATTACGTCGATCAATCAAAATGTCTGACTGAGGATTGTACACAGACCATACAAAGAACCTAAGCTTAGGATCATTAGTCTTCTTTCCTTTTTGGAATACTCCACAAGTGTTTTTAATTCTCAAGCCACAGTACATTACCCTCTCGCGTAGACCGTCAACGTTTTCTTTAACAGCCTTACAAAAAAATTAAAGGAGAACTATTCATTGAAAAAGAAGTAGTGAGCGTCTCAAAATTCAAGCAAGATTTGAATTTTGCGCCATTTGTGCGCGTAAAGTATTGCCAACGAAAAAAAAAGACAGCGTGACAGTTACCTGTTTATCTGTCTATTGATTTTATGCAAGGAACAAAAATGTCGATCAAACTTTGGCATATTGTGTCCATATTTTACTTTCGATTGGTAATTAATTTATCCAAAATCTCGATAACTACATGGAAATTGGATGTCGACCAAATCAAGTTTTGTTTATTAATACATTATATTATCAAAATTCAAATTTCATTAGAAAACTCGATGGGTGAATGTCGATCTAAGTCGGGATCTTAGACTATGAGCATATCATAACATTCACGATTGCTAAAAGTAAATGCGCCATTTTCAAAAGAAGACTTGGAAATGCGGCTATTAATGTACTCTCCAAAAACAGCACAGCAATCACTACAACAATGTATTACAAACTGACATTCGAATACAGTCCGGCTTCATAAGAAACCTACACACTCGTAGAAAGTGTTATAGAACTGTTTGTAAGTACTCGCCGCGATAAAATACATGTATTTCAGCGGTTCCAAAACAGTTTTAAACACATTTTTAATTAGCTTTTTTCTCTATGACCTTAAACTTCCGATACAAGTTTGTGACAGTTAATTCAGTTTCTGCTCCTTTTTCACTCTTTTAAATTTTTGACATAAGTTCATTAACACCCTGTATAAATAAAGATTTGGCAGCTACAGTTCGCAATTTTCGTGCAAAATATGGTCGGAATCAATTGTGAAGAAATTAACTGTAAAGTTACCCTATACTGTACTGTACTTTATGAATCAATTAAAAAATTACAATTTTTAACTATAAACCTGTGTTTTCTATCAAAATTACTTCTTGCGTGAATTTTGGAATTAATGGAAAAATTGTTGTCCCATACCACTTCAACAAGTATTTCCAAAACATGACTTGTTTTTTCATCGAATTCATCCAATCTGTATTAATTTTTTTTTTTTTCGCTGAATGGAAGGTGTGTCACTGAAAATAGTGATTATTTTTTATAATATTTGCGAAAGAATATTCGATTACAAGTTTCTGAAGTCAAAATTAATAAACATTAAACAAAAGTTGTAAACTGTAGGCTGCAAAAAAGGAGAAGATAGTTTTCCTATTTCTGTAAATACTTTTAATTCGATTTGATCTTCACACATACCAAAACCCAATTAGACAAAAACAATTTTTGATACCCGGTAGCGGTTAAATAAAGTTTTAGTTATTTGACAATAAGGTGTAGTAGTTCTATGCATAGGAATATTGGAGCTTCCTATTTATCTTCAAAAAGAAGTGCCTCTATATGAAAATTGACCAAAAAAGTAGCCACCACTTATTGTTAGCAATGCCTGACAATGAAAAACGACTCACCTCCTAACAGTCACATTCGGTCCCAACTGAATGGTCAACGGCCTTCTCTTTTTCGTTACATTTGGTGAATTTTGAGCGTTGGAATTCAGAGATGTGATAGAAGACTTTATCTGAAAGTAGGGAAGGGAATAAAATAATAAAAACACTGCTTAGTAGGTAACACTTACAGGGTCTTTTCGCAGGATGTTAGCGCTCGTAGTTCGGAACCAAGGCTTCTTTTCCTTATCGGGGGGTTTATTCCTCAATTGAGGTGATTCTATTGTCCTCGCTGCATCATTCAATCTCGTAGTCGCTGAGGTACTCTTGGGTGTAGAAGTTGTCACACCACCTGCACTTCTTCTCAAGGACCCAAAGAAGGAAGTTTTGGATGCTGGACTTCTGAAAAGAAAGACATTCATAGATATTTTTTCATGTTTTGATAACAACTTTCACTGTGTTTATACAGGATGTTTTCAAATTAACGTACAATATTTTACTAATGACTAACAAAACAGTTTATATGAAGTAATCAATGCAACATTTTTTGTTTCATAATGATTATAAGTCAGTCAATGATATAACCAAAAGTAGCATAAAATACTTGTGAACAATTGTTCTTAACAGTCATATAAAACATTTCACTCTGTTTTACAATTACCCACACCTCGTACCAATTTACTAATAGCATCTCTCCTATATTATAGGCCGGGAAAATAAGCTGGGAAATGACCATTTCGCGACTTTTTGTTTCGGATCGGCAAGCTGAATTTATAACTATAGATGCTAAATATTATGTACAATAAGATATTACTTTCCACAGTCATAAAAATGGGGGGAAGATTGTTTACCGGTTGGTTAATTGTATAATTTTTACGTAAATTCACGTTTTTCGCTTATAACTTTTTCCGTTCATTTCCACCAGAAAACAGTAAAGTACTTTTTTTCGTCTTCAAAAGACCTACAAAACTAGACTTCGAGCGTTAAAAAATATTGATTAAATCAAACAGAAGAAGTTTATTTATGACTTTTGAATTTATAAACTGCGTTATTATTACCAGAACGTTTTGGCATCAAATCCTCTCATTGCTTATCACTGTCTAATAACTCGCACGAAATCTGGAATCGGTAAGTTGAATAGTTTACAAGATATGGCCTCTTAAACAAATTAACTAATTTATTAGTCTGGACGATCCCGAGGATCTTCCACAATCGCATTGATTTTTTTCAAGGTAAATTTCATAATAATACGTTGAAATCTATCATTTGTTTTTTTTTAATTTCAAATTTGCAACCTGGAATTTTTTTTATTTTTTTAGCCTAGTTGCAAAATGATGTACAGGCTGAGCCAGTTTTTTGTAGTAGGATTTTAACAGTTGATAGAGTATCATTTTTTAATAAGAAAAGTTCCTACGTAGGTCTTAAGAACGCTTCGTTTGTGAGATATAGGGTGTTGAAAACAAACTTTTTTAAGAATTTTTCTTAATATCTCTAAAATACCAACACATATTGAAGTGAAATTTGGTATTAATAATACATTAGTTATGGTGAATAAAACAAAGATATCTGTTATCCATTTCACACACCAGTGACGTGCCTGAGGTGGGTTACCGACCCTTTTAAAAAAATAATTCGTACGCCCGTGGATTTTTCTGGAAAATAACATTATTTCTAAATTTTTTAATCAATTCTAAACAAAACAGCTCTTTTTCAATTTTTTATAAAATGAACGGTTTTTGGTTAAATTCATTTGGCATGAAACTGTTCCAACGATATTGGTAATACATTTGTAATAAGAAAAATATGATGTACCCTGAAAATCAACAAAAACGATTAAATGTCATAACGTTAACATAAGAACGCAAACATTGTGTAACGTGTGTGTCAATTAGTTATTTTTTTAAGTTCTGTGTTTGTTTCTTCATGCCAAATTTCAGTTTAATATCTATTGGTCTTATATCCCTATCTCACTAACAAAGCGTTTTAAGACCTATGTTTATAGGAACTTTTCTTATTAAAATATGATTCTCTATCAACTGTTATTATTCATTCAATCGTTGTATTTAAAAATGTATTTGACAGTCTGTAACTCCGCTGTTTTTCAACGAATTTTGACGATTTCTTTTAACTTTAAGCTCTTTTCATAATCTTTGCGAATATGTAATAATATATAACTATATCACGCTCGTGCGTCGTTTGCAACTAAGGCTAAAAAATAAAAAAAAATTCAGGTTTCAAATTTGAAATTTAAAAAAAAATATATAGATTTCAATGTATTATTATGAAATCTACCATGAAAAAAATCAGTGCGATCAGTGCGAAGATCCTCGTAATCGTCCAGACTAATAATTAGTTAATTTGTTTATAAGGCCATAACTTGTAAACTATTCAACTTACCGATTCCAGATTTCGTGTGAGTTATTAGACAGTGATAAACAATGAGAGGATGTGATGCCAAAACGTTCAGGTAATAATAACGCAGTTTATAAATGTTTAATTCAAAAGTCATAAATAAACTTCTTCTGTTTGATTTAATCAATATTTTTTAACGCTCGAGGTCTAGTTTTGTAGGTCTTTTGAAGACAAAAAAATGTACTTTAGTGTTTTCTCGTGGAAATGAACGGAAAAAAGTTACAAGCGAAAAACGTGAATTAACGTAAAAATTATACAATTAACCACCCTGTAAACAATCTTCCCCCTATTTTTTGTGGAAACTAATGTGTTATTGTACATAATATTTAGCATCTATAGTGATCAATTCAGCTTGCCGAAACAAAAAGTCGCGTCCAACTCTATATTTCCTGGAATAATCAAATGATTTCCAATTACCAGAAGTATGGAAATCGACTTGAAATATTTTTTCATCCTATGAATGACATAAAAAAATTGTTTGTCTAGTAAATGTAATCCGTATTTTGTATATGTTAGTTAGCTTATTTGTTTTATTTGTCTGTTATTGTTTATCCTTAAATTCTTTGTCTGGATTTTATATTTTGATTGCTCTATGTTATGTAGTATTTATATTTTTATATTTAATGTTAGTTTGTCTTTTTCTTTTAAAATTTAGTTAAGGTTTTCTGTTTTACCTTATCCTATAATTGGGACTTTGTCCCGTTGGATATTGTAANTTTTATATATTACATTTTGCTTGCTCTATTTTATGTAGTACTTATATTTAATGTTAGTTTGTCTTTTTCTTTTTAAATTTAGTTAAGGTTTTCTGTTTTACCTTATCCTGTAATTGGGACTTTGTCCCGTGGAATATTGTAACTTCTAAATAAATAAATAAATAAATAAATAAATAAATAAATAAATAAATAAATAAATAAATAAATAAATAAAACCTTTATAGGCCTTGACAGTTATTTTAATATAGATTTTTTACATCCTAAAATATCCAGCAGTTAGAAGAGAGATACCTACATAATATAAATAAAATACAAATTACGCTACGCCTAGTCAGTTTTATTAACTGAGTAGGTAATTGTATATGATGCAACATAATTTGTTACTTGGCCCCACAGGAAAACCAATTTCGAACGCTCTTGGAGTCACCATATAGAGAATAAGAAACGTGACTGTAAAATATTGCTCGCGTTATAAAAAAAACAATATAATAGTAGGTACAAAGACATGTCTCAGGGTGTCCAGGAAATGGTGAGCAATCTCTCGTATTTGGAGAGAGCTTGCAAATATGACGTCACATAATCCGTGTTCACATCGCAGATATGCCGGAAAGTTCACTACTTCTCATGAGGCAAAAGGAGTATTCAGAAAATTATTCTTCCTATGGAAAAGTCTTCATTTGGACACACTGGTATGTGTTTTAAATTATTTTAAATTATCAAAAGCAATCAGAAAACCGTAGACATACCGTGTGTCTTATAGCTGTTTTACATTGACAATTTATTGATCAATTAATTCATGAAGTCGCTTCATCAAGAAATTGGACAAGTGTAATGCACCAAATCTGCTGTCAAATAACTTCATGAATTTATTCATCAAGTTCTTGACGAATTAGAGCATGTTCTAATTTTCGTCAATTTCTTCGTGAAGTTCGGAAGTACCAAACTAACAGATTTCCAGCCTCGGATCAGTAATGAGGTTATGTTATTGGAATATGTAAATAATTGTGTGGCGTCGTACTAGTTTTGCATTGTTTTTACTGATTTGTTACTTACAAACTAATATTTATATAATATGTGTCAAAACGGTACCGCTGTTGTATCACTACAATTATGAGTGGAAAGGTGACATTTTTGAAATTTATTTGCTTCTTTGATTCGTTGGTAGAACTGATTCATGCGTCAAAAAACTTGATAAAGTCTGTAGCAATGTAAAACCACACTGTTTACCAATAAATTCGTGAATTAATTCATGAAGAACTTCGTCAATTTATTCATCAATAAATTGTCAATGTAAAACAGTTATTAGAATGTAAGGCATTTGAAATCGCCTCCTACATACGCAAAATCGCCAAAATTCGACCGTCGCCGTCGAACCGCCATGCCAGGACGAGAAATACCACGCCGAGAGTTATCTGTTCCACGAACGATGACAACAACCAGTGCCAAAACTTCCCCTGAGATCGCCGACGAGAGGCGAGAATGAAGGAAATTTCTGCTATTTTTGGAAAAAAAAAACGGGAAAAATATAGACTTCAAATTATCCATCAATTGTCCAATTTCAGACTTCTAACTTCACACAAACAACCACGCCAGGAAGGAAGGCAGACATCTCTGACCGGAATGGGGTGCGAGCGAACACGCACCGAGTCAACTGCAGTTATTTAACCAGGACGTAGTTCTTGGCCAGAGTGTGTACTCGACAAACAAAAGGCTTCGCATTTGAAACCGCTTCATTTCTGTACTATGAAATAAGCATAAATAAATCGCATATCTAAGTCCTCTACAAAATATCCATAAACGCTCTCTCAGATATGTGCTGCAATTCAAGCTTTCTACAAGCTTTCGTACAAGCACTCGATGAAGTCCGTGCAACAGTGTCAGTTCTTCAAAGGCCTTTTTGGTCGCATCAACCATACAAATTTAGATCGTGGACTTTCCACTTGAGCTTTTTGAACTGACGATGGCGGAGAATTTGAAATCGCATTTTCCTTTGCTGACGATCTCAAGGTCTTACGTCAAGAGGGAACAAAATGAGATGCCAGGGAACCCGTTTACTGGCGAGCAGGCGTCTGACGACCTAGCACAGAGAGTGAAAAGGGACCTAGGGCAATACAATCCCTCCAATCCCACTGAGAGTCTATGACCCGCTCGTGATGCTCAGAGGAGAGGAAATAGGTCATCTCCACCGAGAACTAGCGAAATCGAGTAGAGTCTACGTCCTGGCGCCCAACGTAGGACCACGACCAAGGATCGGCAACCAACTTAATTGATTCC